AACCCAGCTCCCCTTATCATCCTTTTTGGAGACATTGTCTGTTAAGTTGCCCAGGCTGGGCTCAAACTTGTGATCCAAATGCTCCAGCCTCCACAGTGCTGGCATTCCAGGCATGCACCACTGTACCCAGCAGCACAGATGGCCAGCCTGTAATCCCTGAGGCAGGAGGGTCGTTGTGAGGCCAGCCTGGAATACATAGTGAGTTTGACAACAGCCTGAACTATATATAACAAGACCTTGCTTCAAAAAAGTCAAGAAAGGGAGAGAGGAAGGAGAGAAAGAGAGATGAAAGAAGAGGGAGATAGAAGGGGGGGGCAAAAGGCTAGCTTGTTTGTTTCTTGACTTTTCCATAGATATTTTTAGACTACAACTGACTGCAGGTAACCTTCTTAAAGCAAAACAACACTACAGATGAGGATAGGTTGCTGTACATAGTTTCCTTTAAAAGCCTAGTAAATTTGTTTGGGTTTCCTCATGGACAGTTTCTTTTGACCTTTTTTTCATAATGGGGGCCATACCGTCTTGTTTCTTCGCAAGTCTTCTGATTGTTTTTATTGATGGCTAGACATTTAAAGTAATGCAATAACTGTGTTCTAGAAGCCAAATTCTGGAAATTAAACCTCACTTGGGTTTGTTGTGATTAGCTACTTAGTGACTTTCTTAAGTCTTATTTGTGGAGGAGTGTTTGTTGTGTGTGATTAAACCCAGGGCCTCCTACCATCCAAGTGCTGTGCCACCAAGGTCCCTGTCCACACCCCTGGCGTCTCATTCTGCAGCTTTTCTTTCCACTTCAAGATTTTTGTGAGCCTGTTACTTGCTACAACCATCATACAGTGTCTCAGGCAGCCATGAACAGCTTTTGCTGCTGACGGTATAGACAGATTGTCACCCCGGGCATCCTTTATGTCAGGTTAAATAAAGACAGCCTTGCATCTGGGATTCTCTGTGAAGTCCCCACACAGTTGGATGGTGATAGCTCCCCAGGATGGTGTGTGGAAGGAACCATGGCCTGGAGCTGCTGGTTTTCAAGACTCACCTAACACACAGAGAGGTGGCTGTGGGAACAGAGCAAATTCAGGTGCCACAAAGCTCAGCATTCTCTCCAAGAATCATCTGGTTTTCTCACATAAATGTTCCCTACATTGCAGTGTCTAATTTATTTCTGGATTTTTAAAAGGCTGATTCTGATCATTCTCTGAAACTATTGCTCTTCCATTCGAAGACATTGTGTTTATTACACAACTTGCACAGCCTTCCAAGTGATAAGAATGTTTAGAGTATTATCAACTGCAGCCTCTTTCATATATGTAGAATTTGTTCTGTATGTTTTCACACGTGTCTCATTTGTCTGTGAGACAAGAGAACATCATCATTTTGACATCAGCCAAGTCAATGCTTTTTACTCCTTACAAAAATAAGGAAGGGGGGGGCCGGGGAGATGGCTCAGTAGGATAAGCACTTGCCTGGCAAACGCAAGGATCTGAGTTCAATCCCCGGTTCCGCCAAAAAAAAAAAAAAAAAAATAAGGAAAGGGTCATAAAGTACATTGAAGTTGTAAAGGAGTCCCCTTAACCCTGAAGTGCATTTACTTTTTTGCTAAAGGCTGTTGAAGATGATTTTGTGGAGATGCGCAAGAATGACCCCCAGAGCATCACTGCTGACGATCTCCACCAGTTGCTCGTGGTAGCTCGGTGAGTAGCCCAGGTTCCTAATTGTTTTTTTCTGTAAGTCTCCTGATTTATGTATGCAGCAGTAGCTGAGGCAGACCTCAACAAACAGAGCTTTCCTTTGAAGAGAAATGGTTTGGTCCATGGTTGTCTTAGTGCAGCAGGTCTGCCCCATGTTCTCTAAGCTTCATGAAGTTCTGACTCTTCAGGGATTCCTTTGAAGAAGTCTGAAATTGGCTCTTGATATGTTTGTAAATACCAGATAGCGTTGCCTCCTAATTTGGCTGTTTTTAAAGAGCATTCCAGCCAGATGTGGTGGTGCACACCTGTAATCCCAGCACTTGGGAGGCTGAGGCAGGAGGATTGCTGGGAGTTCAAGGGCAGCCTGGGCTATATAGTGAGTTGTAGGCCAGCCTGAACTGCATAGCAAGACCCTATCTCCAAAATAAACAAACAAAAAAAAATGCCTAAATCTTAAAACACTTACTATCCTAGCTCTAGACTTAAATTTGTTTATGTTTCAAACCAGGTTTCTTTCTCTCAGTGCTGGTCAGACAACGCTGTCACGAGAACGATGGCTAAGAGCCAAGCAGCTGGAGTCTTTAAGAAGAAACAGGCTTCAGCAGCAGAAATGTGTAAATGGAAATGAACTTTAAAGTTCTGATAACCGTGAAGATTGATGGGCAGGCAGTAGCCACAGTATTGTAAAAATCAAATGCCATTTGTACCACATTATTTTATAGATAATTTGTATCAGAATACAATGACTTTTCCTGAAGTCAGGCCTGGTAACATCTGAAGTTTATATGATACCTCAGTAAGGGCTTTTACCTTACTGATTTTATGGATCTTTTGAAGTTTGTTTTATAATTATATAAATCAGTTATAATGTATAAAAATGTATTTGATATTAAAGTTTAATAATGATGACGTTGCTGATTATACCATTTCCTTAGCTGCAGCAAAGTCACAGGCCAGACTCTGTTGAAATGCTGTTGTTGACTTCATTTGAAGAAAATTGTTGCAATTTCATGGTTGAAGTAATTTTGCACTTCAGATTTCTATGTCTTTCCATTTAATTACATGTTCAGTAATCCACATTCGGAGAATGGGGCAAATTTGCCATAGATTCGTATGGGAGACTACAAGACAACTGGCAACTGACAGCAAATTCTTCCACTTAACAGTTAACAACCTATAAAACTACTCATTACACAGAAGTTTCCAAATTTGAATTTCATGGACCAGCAATATTTTTTTTTAAAAGTGGGGGTAGGGATATTGTTGATTTTTTTTTGATACATGATGTGATTTGAAAAAAATCACTTTATTTTAAAAGGGTACACAGTCAGCCTAGTGTGGTGGCATGTAGCTGTGATCCCAGCATTGTGAGAGACTGGGGCAAGAGGGCTGGAGTTTGAGACCAGGTGGGCAATTCAGTGGCCTTGTTGCAACATGAAAAAATTAAGGGGTAGGGATGTAGCTCAGTGGTAAGGTCCTAGGTTTAGTCCCCAGCACCCCACCCTGCCAAACATTGTTTTGGTTTTTTTGCATATCAAAAAGTTCTTTAAATGGAATAAATGTAGCTTTTTGCACAACACTACATCGTCTTCATTTCTCATTACATCCCAGTGCACTCAGAAACCAGTGTTTTGTAGGATTCACTTAAAGGAACACTGCCCCATGAAGTTCACCTAAATATGAGAAAATGTAGTAAACTTAAAAAAATATGTTCTCTTTAGGAAGTTTGGTTTTTGACATGCTGCAGATCAAACCCACAGCCTCACTCATACTCTAGGCGAAGCCTGTACCAGTGGTGGTGACACTATGGCACACGTGCTGCAGCACACTATCGCCATTGAAAGCTCTAAAAGGTTTGCCATCACTGACCCTATACCAATGAGCTACTTCTCCAGCCCAGAAAAAGGCATTTTCCTGATGTCATCCCCTTTGAGGATACTACATGTTGAGTTTTATGTAAGTTTCCCAGTTCCTAATGTATTACATTACATAAATGATCTGCCAGTCCACTAAAGGCCTGAGGTAATTACAGGTAAGCTTTCCCAAGACCCTGTTTTGATATAGTTTTTTTAAGGAACAAAAATAGCACCCACAGAGAGCAAATTGACATACCATAGTGGCATAATTGTGACAAGAATCTTCGGAAAGTTTAGAGTATTATTTTAAAGATACCAGTGTGTATAAAGATGAATTTCTGTCAGTAACTTACCTAGTTGGAGACATGATTCCTTAAGTTTATTTCCATAAGGAAGACTTACATTGACATTGCTAACCAAGGAAACAGGGTCAACCTTGAAAAATCAAGGAATTCATTATACTTAGTGAAGGGAAGTAAAAATTAGTTGTTCATTCTTTTCCTAAATTCAAATCTATTTTTATAAACTAATGTAAATAATGTTTATATTAGGATTCTAACTGGTTTTCATTTTTATAACTGGTAGACTAGAACTTCAAACTTTTAGAAATGATTTGTAGAATACAGTAATTTTCTTTGTCCTAGAACAGAGTAGCTACCATTGTGTCTAATTGTGCCAATGTAAAATGTAATCTACCAAAGAGAAATCATAATTTTGCTTGGTCTTGCAGAAAAGTTCCAACGAAAGAACACTTTGTAGTAAATAAACTTTCCCAAACTACCAGTACCGTGGGCTGTTTTTATGAATTCTGAGATTCACAGAACTAACTATGTAATGGTCTATGTGGGAAAGCCTTGTGTTCTTAGGAAACCATTACAAGGGTAAATTTAAAGATGGGTGGTAGTACAAGATGGTGTTCTTCCCAGGTCATTTTTCTTATACATACGGATGTTCTAATTTGTTGCTCTAATTTAGGGCAAAGCTGTTAATCCTGTTTGAGTGATGAGGAAATTGAACAGAGATTTATACAGTATATCCATTTGAAACTAAACTGCCTTAAGATAGTTAACCTCTGGAATTCATTTTTCTTGAACATAAACATTTTCTGGCTTGTATTTTCTCTGGTGGTGTGGAATAATTTTCAAGACCCAGAAGTTGCTAAGAGAATAAAGCATTTGGTTTTAAATATATGAAATTTAAAATGTTGTGACTCAATTTCTAGTTTTTAAAGTCATTAGAAACTTTCGAGTAAAATAACTGGAAAAGTTCACAAGTGTTCAGTTACCAGGTTACCTTATTTTATCTAAATCACACCCTAGCCAGGCATGGTGGTACATGCCTGTAATCCAAGGACTGAGGCAGGACAACCACCACAAATTCAAGGCCAGCCTGAACTATACAATGAGACCCTGTTTCAAAAAATGAAATGTTATACAAGGAATTCTCACACACTGTGTCACTTTAAATTACTGGTACTTTAATAGTCACAAGATTTGACACTTCAAAAAAATACCACTAATAAATAACAAAAAACGGAATGCTTATCAGAGTTAACAACAGACATAACGTTCACCCGAGAATCACTTCGACAGAGTTAAGGCTCTAAAAAATACCAAAGAAACCAACAGTTGGTGGACTGTGCTGTACAGCTTTCCTCCTGCGTGGGTTGGGCGTACAGGAAGCTCTGGCTCTGGTTAGGAGCATCGTAGAACCTATTTTCATACAACAGTGTCTCAAACTAAATCTTCAGTAGCTGGGTTAGCGTGCCCAAGACGCTGAGGAACGTCCTCCTGCAAAAGTTAAGACTTGAAGACTTCCACAATTTCTAGTAGCCAATACATTTTTTTTAAAGAGCAATATGAATTAGGTACAGCCAGATACATTTGATGTACTGGGTTTACTTTATGACAGGCAAGTCAGTGCACCTCAGTTTTGAAGACCATAAGCAGCAAGATAATCTATTCAAGTAGAATATGGGGAAAGTTAGGATCAAATGATTTTTTTAACCCTGAACTCTCATAGTAACCCTCAACTCTTCACAGGGAATGTTTAGCCATCAAAACAAATGTTTTATATTGATATGCTTCTCATACTAAATTCACTAAAAACTAAATGGCTTACTTTGTAGAATAAATAGGGATGAACTGACAAAAATCCTACTCAAATGGGACCCTACTACCTATATTTTACACTCCATCAAAAAAAAAAAAAAAAAAGACTGTACCAAAATGATCTTTTCCTGAATTACTTTCAAATAATGAATTGCTCTAGTTCTGTAGTGTATGCGCTACTCAGGACTGCACAATCTAGGATGACACGTTCTGGAGTCTTGGCTCTCAAATCTGAAATCTGCTGAAGTTCAGACTCCTTTAAAAACCATTCCCAATAACCAGAATTAGTGATCCCCTAGATTCAAACAGTAAAAGTTAAAATAGCCTAATTGAAAATTTAGAATTTTCAAATAAAATCCACAAGATACTGTGGTTAAAATCTAAATCTGGATTATTCGTGTCTGGCATTGTGTAAACATATTTTTAAGTTCATTTTGTTGGACTTTATTAACTCCTTCGGGTTCTGCAGGACTCTTCTGAACTTTTGCTACTGCCAGGTTTATCCCATGGGTTAATCCAGCTTGGGTAATACTAGCAACCTGGACCATGGAGCTGCGAATCTTTGCGAAGGGAGAGACTGCTCTGCTGCTACTGCTCTCAGAAGGGGAAGGCGTTACACGAAGCCCTGCCTCAAGTTCCATGCTGAGACCAGAACTGGGGGTCTTTTGAGAGAAAACTGAATGAACTGGTTCAACTGACAAAAACTGGGGGCCTGTCTCAGAAGACACATCTAAATGAGATGGCCGAGAAGGTGTCTGTCCTGTTGATTCTGATTGAGTTTCTTCATTAGAAACTTGACTGGTCATTTGATTTCCTTCCTCACTAGCTTGCTGAGACACAGAACTGGCCTCTAACAGTTCAGTCATTTTGTTTTGTGCATCTTGGACAAACCTGTGGCAGTAAATATCCATAGGCTTTGTGAAGCCAGTGTGTATGTTGTCAGCAGAAGGACTCTTGCTCAAAGGAGACTCCTGACCTCTTCCAAGTCCACTTCCATAAGCAACAGTAACTTCTGAAGGAGCATGAATGCTAACATCAGAGCTGCTAACAGACTGTGATCGACTGCCTAATCGAGGCACGGAAGCAATAATACCACAACTAGGAAGAACATAATCTATTTGCCCTACACTCTCCAAAGAATTGGCTAGCTGCTTGTCTTCGTCCGACTTGGAATTGGTAAGGAATTCATCAGAGTGGTATGAGTCATCTGAAGACGCATCCTCTTCAGACTCTCCCTGGGCCTTATCCATCACGCCTGAGTTTTCTATAGTCTCAAGACTACTATCTGATTTCCAAAGATTAACCTTTAAATTTGGTTTTAGAAAATTAACTTTCATTTCAGGTTTTGTAAAGTTTCCTAACTTTCGTAGGCTGCCAATATTCACATTGGATTTGGTCTGTTTCACTTTTTGATTTAGAGAGGAAAATTTGCTTATTAAAAAATTCTTCCCCTGGGCCAAAGAGCCTTGGTTTTGAGATCTGATACCAATGATTTCTTCATGAGGTTTACTGCTCTTCCTGCAAATTAGAAGAAAAAAGTGTTAGTTCCCCATAGAATCCAATACATCTGTTCTAATTAATGTAAGTGAAAATGCTTTGCTTATTTAAGAAGATCCTGATTTTCTTGGGAACAGTGCATTGCTAACTTCTGATAAATCATATAATCTACCTTTTGAGTTTGTTTTGGCTGGTAGTTAGATGTTCCACCCCCACACCTCAAGCAGTCATAAGTGGGCTTTTTGGAGATGGCTGGATCTAGGGTGTATGAATGTCAATTCTGAGTGTGAATAATAGGAAGATCCACCCTAGGAGCAGGTGGCATCACCCAGAAGGCTTGTAGTCTGGATGGGATAAAGGAAAGGGAAGCTGGTTGCTTGTTCCCTCCAGCCTGCCCTGCCATCAACTCTTTCTCCTCTGCCCTCCCCTTCTTCCTTGCCACCCTGCCTTGGAGCCAGCTCACTATCAGGTGAAACCTCTACAACTGTGAGCCAAAATAAACCCTTCCTCTTTTAACTTTGGGTTTCAGGTTATTTTGTCTCAGCAGTGAAAAAAGCTGACACTCAAACATCACTGCAAAGAAGTATGTGAACTGTAGGTGTAATCTGGAATTTTCTAGCAGCCACATGAAACAGGTGAATTAACTGTAACATTTAACCCAATATATACAAAATATTTCAGCATATAATCAATATTAAAAGACGGTTAAACTTTTTTGTTCACCAAGTCTTTAAAATAGCCAGTGTGACATAGTATGTATAATTACAGGACACCTGAATTCAGACTAGTCACATTTCACAAGCTTCACAGTGGCATGTGGTGACTGGTAACCAGTCACCGTTCTGGGCAGTGCCGGTGTATCACACCCAATCTAAACCACCACCAGCAAAGGCCTTTCCGGCCATAGATAGCATCTTAAATGTAGCATCAAGCTGTCCAGACCTGTTCCAGATTGAATATACAAAAACAAAGGAAAGATGGTGGAAGATTTCCACTTCTTTACATGACCTGTAGGATACCTGAATTTTAAAAGATTTGAGATACTGAATATAACTAAGCATAGTATCTTCTCTCCGTCATGCCTGTCACAGCTATGAAGTAAGAATGAAAGTCTGGGTGACATTAAGCCACAAATGTCTGTTGTGTACACTCCTGGTCAAGCAGGATCATGTATTATTACATGAAAAAATTAGAAAATTACAGAAAAAATAGATTAGAGAACTACTAAAGACTTTTCCCTGTACTAAAGACTGAGTAGTTTTTCTCCAGGGACCATCCCTGCTGTGAACCATCTAGCCTCACTAGTGCTCGCCAGGAGGAAAAAAATCTGTAATTTTTTAAACGTAAAATAATCAGCTGACAGGCATTTTTCCCCCAAACCCCAGTATGTAAAGTAATATTTTCTCTAGAATACTTACATCTGAATGGTCCCGATAGTTAAAAGTATATCTGTTGAAACTGTACTTTCAATTTGATTTGAAACTGTCTCATTGCTATATGTTTATCAATAAAACTTTGAAAAGAAAAAAAAAAAGTGTATCACTTGGGAACAAATAAGTTGTATCAAGGACAGCAAAGCAGCTGCCCTCAGAAGGTCCTTTCAGCCATATTTCATCATGTGATTCCTTACAAAATACCACCTAGCTAATTACTTGTGCAGAAGGTATTACTTCATATATAACATTCTGATGATGAACAAATCCAGATGTATATCCTGAATATATTTTAAATGCTGTATCACTCAAAAAGAAAAGTGAGCTCTTTGGAATTTTTTTGAAACTAATAATAATCTCTAAGAAGGTATATAGGGTTAAGTGAGCCTTCTTAGCAATTTGGCAGTTAAGAGGAAATATTCATACTTTTTAATCTGAATTTCTAATTTGGTGATGTTATTCTAAGGAAATCATCCTTGACATGAAAAAATAATACATGACAAAGACATCATGGATTTTTGGAAAAGAAAAAGGTAGCAACCTATATTTTTAATAATTGAGTTTAATGCTATGTATAAGTATTATTCTAAGTGCATTAGCATTCCATCAATGCTACTACTCTGACATTTCATTATTTCATACTACAGGTAACAAAACTGGAAGTTTATTAAATGTATCTTTTCCAAGGTTAGAGAGTGACAGATTTATGAGTCAAGAAGTTGGGCTGATTTTATCCTCATTTATCATGGTGTAATACACTGAAATATCACTGTATCCTACAAATATGTCCAATTATATGTCAATTTAAAAATTCTATAAAATGTCTGGCTGACCAGATCATGCTCAGAACCTACCCAATACATCTGCAAACGGCAAGTCCAGTCAAAATTACTCTTAAAAGCTTCTTATACAGATATTCTCTTTGTACTGTACAATTTATTAGGTCTAACAGCCAATTTTTATTCCAAAATTATAAGAGATAATTTTGCTGGAATAGTAAATGTAACAGTTTATATTTACAAGTCTTATTACTTTAAAAAAAAAGAACTAAGATGTACATACGTATATTTTTATGTGTGACTACACGATATTTGCTGCATTATAATTTGCGTGACTTGTCTGTGATTGAAATTTTTTCAGAAATACAGTTGTTTAGCTGGAAATGGTGGCACACACCTATACTCTTAGCATTCTAGGAAGCTAAAGCAGAAGATGGTGAGCTTGAGCCCTACCAGAGCAATTCAGTGAAACTCTGTTTCAAAATAAGAAGGGCTGGTAATGTAGCTCAATACAAAAGCCCTTGTTCCAATCCCCACTACCACAAAAATATACATACATTTTTTTCTTCTTTAAGCATGAAAAACTAGTGATGATCATTTTTTGTACAAGCCAATTTTACTGAAAGAGTGAGTCATCATGCAAAAAGCAGGAACAAAAAAGAGAAAAATTCCTCCAAGGGGGTGACAATTAAGTGTCTTAAAGTTTTCAGTCTATTGCATCAGACTTCCCTTTTAGAAGAAATTCAGTGAACAAGTGTGGAAGAAATACAGAAAATGGCAAAACCACCACAAGAATAGTTACTACAGACAACATCCCTGCACCATGATGCACACAGAAATGCCAGTTGCTATCATAGTGTCCCTTCCAGTAAACCTCTGCTGAATCAAGAAGACATATTGATCAGGCCTCAACTGGAGGATATGCTACAAATAAGCAGGACTCTTCAGAAGTGTTAAAGTTATGAAAAACACAGGAAGACTTAAAGAACTGACAATCCAGAGGGAAACCCAGAGTCAACACACCTAAAAGTAATGTGTGATCTGGGATGGGATCCTTGAACAGAAAAAGCTGATGAAATTTAAATTTGATGTTTTGGTTAATAATCTTCTATCAAAGTTAACTTTTTTTTTTGTTTTGAAAATGTTCTATAATTATGTAAGATGGTAACACAAGGGAAAAAACTAAGGGTATATTAAAAAATGAATTGTGCGGCTTTTTTGATTTTGTGGGGCTTTCTTGTTTTTGAGACAGGGTTTCACTATGCAGTTCAGGCTTGTCTTGAACTCACTATGTAGCCCAGGCTAGCCTAAAACTCAAGAGATTCTGCTGTTTCAGCCTTCTGAGTGTTAGGATATAGGTGTGCACCACCACAACTGGTATGCAACTCTTAAAGTCTAAAATTATCTGAAAAGTTATATAGCAATATAGTATTAATTTTGGCCCACAGAAATTCAATACTAGGGGCTGGGGAGAAAACTCAATGGAATAAGTGCTTGCCAGGTAAGTGCAAGGCTGAGTTCAATCCCTGGTACCACTAAAAAAAAAGAAAAAAAAAAAAATCAATACTTACCCCATCAAACTACCAACATCAAAATAGTGTGGTCACCCTCACTTCCTTTGAAAATACTCTTGGTGGGGGAATAGGACTAGGGATTGAACCCAAGTCCTTCACACTGAGCTACATCCTCAGCCTTAAAAGAAAAGTACTTGAGTCAGGGTCTAGCTAAAGTATTAAGCTGCCTAAGCTGAACTTTAACTTGAAATCTTCCTGCCACAGACTCCCAGAGGGATGGTATCACAGGTGTGCACCACTATGTGTGGCTTTAGTCTTGATTACTGGGAGGAAAGATCCTGAGGAAACCTTCGCAGGTGCACTGCACTCACCTCTCCAGTTTTCTCTCGATTATGGGCACATCCAGTCCCACAGCTTGCTTAGTGATCTGCAACATCTCTGCAATGCACTGAAGGGTGTCTGAAACCCAAATGTAACTGCTGGTTAGTGTCTCCTAAAACACACAAAATAGAGCTGTCCTAATTTATTCATGCCTGACTGACATCTGTGGTCATATACTTAAATATAAGTTTATTTGCTGCAACTGATAGAAAATTGCTCATTTTTCCCCTCACTAAATCAAAATTTTCTAATGCAAAATTTTAACAGGAGAGTAAAGCACAAGAACAAAAGAACAAACAACTGGAATTAAAATTTTGTTGTCTGACATTCGTTCACTGCACCAGATGCTTTGGCAACAGCTACCGATGAGACCGGTGGGTGGCTGCTCCTAAGAGACCATTTGCAGGCGGGAAAGCCCAAGTATATACAAGGCTTTGTAAGCACCACACATTGAGAACTGCTGCCACCAGAGTCCCTTGCCCCAGACACCCTAAAACATCCAACTAAGCTCCCTGTGATCTAAGGAACAGAACTGCCACTTGAAGTATCAAATCATAAACTTGTTCCCTGCATCAGATCCTGTGCCGTTAGCCACAGCATGTTATGTCCCAGTTCCACCTGAATTACATGAGCAGATACAAGGTTATCAAGGAATACTTTCCTCTTTTTTACCTTTTCCATCTTCTTCTGGATTACGTGGTACAGCTCTTAGTGTGTGGAAATAACCACTTGTTTCTTTATATCTGTAGTGCAATCGCATGCAGGAAAACTTTGGCTTACCAAAAAGAGTGGGTTCAGGACCTAAAAGGCCAAACAAATCCAAGTTTACATAATACTTACTTTCACTCATTAAATAGATGATTTTCTTTTTTTAAAATTTTATTTGTGTGTGTGTGTGTGTGTGTGTGTGTGTGTGTGTGGCCAGCTCAGCCCACCAGGGGGTGGCACTGGCTGGCATGTGGTACTGGGGGATTGAACCGCAGTCCCTGTGCTTTGCTAAGCTTGTTCTTAGTAGGTGCTTTAGACCACTGAGCCATCTCACCAGCCCCATAGATTATTTTTCTTCATAATCTAAATGAGAACATAAAAAGCACAAACATCACATCTATCAAATCTGATGAGGCTACAAGAACTCTTCCTCAGTTTCACTTTAAACTTTCTTGATTGCTGGAGTTATCTTAACATGGGGAAAAAAACGAAAGGAATAGAGTATTATTAGACCATCCACTAGTCCCTAAAAATAGAAAGGAAGGCTGAAGAAAGACTACCTGGAATATTCCTTTCTAGTTTCTAACAGGTGGTATACCAGTTGCTTAAATAATTTGACCCATACTTGTCAGCCAAGAATTCTACTATTGAACCATCAATGCAACCAACTTGACCTATACTTGGAAGCAACAGCATTTGACTTCTTTTGAAATGGTACGTCAAAATTTACCTATTTCTATTTTTTCCAGGTTTTCTAGACTTAGTCGTTGATACTGGTTTACTTTATCCACTTCATCATCATAACTAGAGAAAGAGTAAAAAGAGGATTAAAATCAAAAGCATCTTTGGTTTGTCAGCTACAGAAGTATATGCATTTAAAATCTTTCCAAGCTCAATACATACTGTAGTAAGAGGTAAACAAAAATATTTTAAAAACTAGATTAAACAAAATACATAGACAGCTAAAGGAAAGTGGTTCATAGAGCTTACACTAAAGCCAATTACAATGCAAAAATATTTTTTATGACAAAATGAAGGCAAAATACACATATAATGAAATCATCCAGAAATAATACAGTAGAAAACTTGATATAAAAAAAATGGGAATCTGGTATAAGAATGGAAATGTCATGTGATCTGTGCCAACAGATATCTAAAATGATGTCTAAAATATGATATTTCTAACAAAGCCAAAAATAAGGGAATGTTTACATAGAATATATAAATTAAAAATTCAATTCTAGTGAAGTATGTGGAAACAAGCTTTCGGCTAGTGCCTGTTAATTTGGTATTCTTTCTGGAGACAGATCTGAAAATAAACTATAAAAGTCACATAATTCAACATCCTTCTAACCAAAGAGAAGCTGATGTATGTGTGCTATCTATATACAGCTGGCTGCAGCATTCTCGGTAGCAAAAAGCTGCAGGTAATTTAATGTCTAACAATGGGCAAACACATATGGTATGAATAATATAAACAATAGCATATGGCCACTAATGATAAAAATATACAGAGTACAGCAAAACTAGGAAGATACAGAACACAGTATTATATAAACATACTGATTAATAACTCAAATAAAAATTTCAAGCTAATAAAGCTAAGTAACATCAGATAAAAGCATTCAATTAAGTTCCACAAATATATAATAAAACCAGATTTTTTAATTTTTTAATGAATTCTAGAAAAGAAACTTATTAACAACACAAAATTAAAAGCTTTAAATCAATAAGCGACTTACTAGGCTACGTAGTAGGCAGAGTTAGAAAGCAGTAACAGCACATCCACATCTCTATGCGTAGCATCAATGAGGCTAAACAAACACGACAGAGGGAATTAAGTATTTTTATTTTAATCTGCATTTTTTGTCAAGCATATTTACACAGTATAGCCACTTATGAAAAAAGACTGGCCAGTGGCAAAACCAAATTAATGAATTATACGTACTTAAGTTAATGTAATCTATTCAGTTGGAAAAAATTTTAAAGTAACAATAAATAAAAAACAGATTTGGGAAATGGGAGGGGTGGAAGGAAGAGCCGGAGCTGAGGGGAGGGCCCATCACGGGGGCAGCCAGCAAGGGGGGGTCTTCAGGGAACAGGGTTCTGAGAGCGGGAGTTAGAGGACGCCAGAGAAGGGTTACTTGGGAAAAAGGAAAACCTGAGGCTGAGGAAGGAGAAGTAGGAGATTGTCTCATATTACCTAATCTTCAAATACCACCCTGCACATTTAGGATACGTTTACACTCATATATAAGAAACTGTTTGAAAAGAATTTTACATAAATATAACATTTATATACAAAAATGAAACAAGTTCAAGCTGCACGTCATTATTCTCTGTATATATTAATGTACTTGGCTTTCAAGGTTCAGGCAACCATTTCATTAAATCGATTCTGTCATATTTATACCCACTCTAAAATATTAAAGGTTAGAAACCTGAAGTTAATGAACCATTAGACCAAAACTAGAGAAAATACACACCCTTATAATATTATTTATAAGTCAATAAATCTAACAGGCAGAATCTGAAAACAAATGAAACTTTTAATCTAATACTAACCTAATGTTAATAGACTAACCTTTCCATCAAAAGATGGAGGTTAATTTGTGTTCTTAAAACTGGTCTTGAAATTCCACTTAACGGTGGACATTTTTGCCTTAGGATTCATACCTATCCACTAGACTTTATCAATATGGTATTGCAAAAGGAACAGTGAAAAATATCATTCGTAGATGGAAATTATACCGTTTCTTAGCCTGCATAACAATGAGGTCATTGATTAGCCGAATACTGCAGGGAAGGATCGATTTACTAAAATCTTAAAACTGCAGGTGTTTATATCAGCAGCACCTCTCGCAGCATAACTGTCTTACTTAAAATTAACAAATTCACCTCAATTCTCACCTAACATCCTGAAAAACAGATACTGAATCCAATTAAAATAGTGATTCTATGAGGTACAACCAGAGCATTAAGGAAGTAATTGGTGGGGGGAAAAACAAACACAAACAGCAACAACAACAACAAAAATCAACGATCCTGCCAGCTTCTCTGAGAATACCGAATTAGGTAAAATGTAGTTTTGTGCATTGATACTTACCTGCATCCTGAAAACTGTTGCTTCAGTCGTCATAAAAATCACATCACGACACATATATTAATATGAAGTAAATTCTACTACTAATAATTACAATGTTACTTTCATCCTAGCATCCTATTTTGGAATTAGTATTTATTTACATCAGTCAAACACAATCTTCAGTCAAAAAACATGTTCTTAATGAAAAGCACTTGGCACATAATAGGAAGTCGAAAAAGTCAGCCCTCCCCCCACCCGCATTTTTACTGAAGTCTTAGCTGCAGTAAATATTCAGTAACCCTCCCAAGCCACCCTCCCCTCTAAAGAAAAGGAAAAGTACATTTAATACGAAGAAAGAAAAAAAAAAAAAAAACCCTGTAGATACTTCCCCACCCCCCAGCATTTGCAGCTCTTCAAGCTGCTCTATTCATTTTTGTTTTCCCGCCACTGAGGCAAACCCTCTTTCCATACTATGAAGACAAAAATTGCCAGCACCACATGAAGACCGACCACTGCGACAATGGTTGCGTAAAAGGCGCTGTCTTCAGGGGACATTAACAGCAGACTTTGGAAAAGAAGTAATTTACAGGAAAAATACAGCCCAACAGGTACTTTAACCATTAGTCCTGCAAAAAGGAGAAAAATCTTAAAAGTCATGGCCACAACACCGTCAGACTTGGGCTCGGCAGCATTGGCAGCGGCAGCCCGCTGCGCAGGTGGTGGAGGCCTGTGGGAGCGTGGCATGGTCAGTCAGTCTGTCCGTCCGTCCGTCCGTCCGTCCGTCCGTCGATGCCTGGAAGCTCTGTCAAGACCAGCCTGTACTGATCTCGCGCCTGCAGCAAATGCGGCGAATGCGGCAACTGCTCTGCGGCCGCGCCAAGTACCGCCCACCACATAGGTCTAGCTTCCACCCCCCACTTCCGGTCGCGGCTGGCAGCTAGTGCGCAGGCGCGCTCCATCCTGCGCATTCTGTACCCTCCATGGAGGGCACCGACCCAGGCCCGCAGAGAGGGGCCGGGTAGCCAGTTTTCGTGAGAATTGTCTCACGCCTTTCTCACGGTCTGTGCCCGTGAGCGCTGGATGCGGTGAACCGGGTACCACTTTCACGACTATCCTAGGCACCATCACATGCCTGACAATGCATGGCTATCACCCACCTAGGCACTCTGGAAACCAGGAAGAAGGGGACAGTTGAGTTAGGGGTAGGGGAGCAAGGTGAGCCGAGATGGCGCACAGAACTGGGTTTGCCAAGATGTTAAAGAGCAGGTCTCCACAACTCGTTTCCTGCTGTCATCAAAGTCAGATTGTTTTGGGACAACAAGGGGGTATGAGGTGTTAGGCAGAGAGGTGGAGAGGACACAGAAGTCTAGAGAAGCCTGCTCCCACCGCTGCCGGGGCCTTGCGAAAGAAGAGGCTCTCAGAGCACGGATCGCGATGCTGGACAGCTCCCACCAGAGCCAGGCTAGGGCGTGTTCTGTGCTCTGATAGCAGGGGCAGTTCAATCCGGCCCGCCTGCTACTGTGAACGCAGTGAGGCGCTGTCTCTGGTGCAGAATTTAAGGGTCTGGCAAGGCCGCCATCAGCACAACTTAGATATTCTAAATTTTGTTGTTCAGTTTTTTTTAGTCTGTGAGACAAGATTTCACTGTAGTTCAGGATCATCTTAACTATGGAGACAACACTGGCCTCAAACTCATGGTGATCCTCCTGCCTCAGCCTCCAGACTACTGGGATCAGAGGTGTTCACCATCATACCCAACTAGAGTGACATATTTTGAAAAGCAAAATAGATGCAAAAGGACAATCCAGAAAATGACAAAAATTTAAGAAAACACAGGATCCACTCCTACATTTGCACAATCTTATTTGCCTGACCTTGGTCTTGGAAAAACTTTTTTTTTTTTTTTTTTTGCGGAACCGGGGAGGAAAAACTTTATTTAGAACTCAATAACAAAGAGACAATCCAATTTAAAAACAGAAAAAATATTTCAACAGACTTTTTAAAAATGAAGTTACAGGGGGACCTGGCCCTAGCTCAGTCCTTTAAGTGGCTGCTTCCACAAAGCTGTCAGCCTCAGGTTGCTGGAGTTCGAACCTCACAACTCTCCTGCTGGCCAAAAGTGCCCTGAAGGCATTCGAGGAACCAAAAAAAAAAAAAAAATGAAGTTACAGAAAAAGTAAACAAGTACAAGAATCCTCAATGTCATCTGTGATTAAATGAAATGAGAACCACAGTGAGCTACCAGTTCATACCCCCAGGATAATCCTTGCACAGCTAGGATTGAACCAAGCCTTCCCACTAAGCTAGATCCCCAGCTCTTTCAAATTCTGAGACTTGGTCTCACTAAGTCTTTATTATGGTCCAGATGTCCCCACAAAGCCTTAGGCAGTCGGGGGGTGGGGGGCACACTTTTCAGTGGGGGCTGAACCTAGAGTCTGTGACTGATTCATGATGCAATGCTGTGGGACCCAGCAAGAGCGTGAGTTTTACACCTTCCCTAACTAAGGTGGGTAGGTGTAAAACATAAGGAACATCGCTTGATTTTGCTCTCTTGCTGTTATGAACTGTTGCCCTCTATCAAACCACCCTGCCTCAATGCTAGCCAGTTATGGACTGAAGCCTCTATGAACTGTGAGTTAAATAAACCTTTCCCCCTTTAACTTTGAGTGTTGCATATTTTGTCTCAAAAACAAGAAAAGTAACTCCACAAGCAAGACAGTCTCTACTTTTCCTAGGCTGGATTTAAACTTAAGATCCTACCTCTGTGTCCTAGAATGCTCAGATTACAGGTATGAACAACCATGCCTAGCTGACAACTTTTTTTATGAGAGGAAAATAAGTGTTGGAGAATGGAGAATTAGAACCTTCATATTTTGCTGGTACACATTTAAAAACGGTACAACTATGATGGAACATACTTTGGCAGTTTCCCAAGAAAGTATTATCAAGTCATCTGGCAATGCCTAATCCTACGTATATACTGGAAAGAACTGAAAACACATGTTCAACAAATACTTGTACACAAATATTCATAGCAACATTATAATGGTCAAAATGTGAAAATAACCCAAAGCCTGTCCAAAAATGAATAAATAAAATGTGTTATATCCACTCAATAGAATACTACTGGATTGGGGCTGGTGAGATGGCTCAGTGGTCTAAAGCACCTACTTAGAACAAGCTTAGCAAAGCACAGGGACCGCGATTCAATTCCGCAGCACCACATGCCAGCCAGCCCCACCCCCTGGTGGGCTGAGCTGGCCACACACAGAAAGAAAGAAAGAAAGAAAGAAAGAAAGAAAGAAAGAAAGAAAGAAAGAAAGAAAGAAAGAAAGAAAAGAATACTACTGGATTGACATTCTGATACATGCCACAATGTGAAAGAGCATGAAAAACATGCTAAGTGAAGTCAGCCAGTCACATAAGCTATGTATTGTATTATTCACTTATACAAAGTTCAGAATAGGCAGACAATTCCTATAAGATACAAATAATTAGTGGTTGTTTAGGGCTGAGACTATGTGTGGCATAGAGTGTAATAACTAGAGTATACAAGACTTTATATAATGATGAAAATTACATGTGTGTGTTCAGCTTATCTTGCAAAAAAGGAAAAGTGCACTCTACTTTTGGGGAAGTATTCCCCATTAATACATCCCCAACACAGCAGTGACCAAAGGGAAGGATGTTCTGACCCTTGCTACCCAGCACATACTGGCACATATTAGA